CCTATTACACATATTTGGTTGCCGTAGGTATTTCCTTTCGTCTCTGTTACCTTCTCATTAAACCTTGGGTGAGGTTACGTATCAACCCTTGCGGTTTAGGGTAAGCTTTAATTCGAAGTAGGGAATCCTCAATTTACTGACTCTAAAGGCAGATCATCTCATGATCTCTTTTACTATGCATAGATTCCCGAGTCTTGTAAATGTCATCCCGATTTCTTCGGTTTACAAATAACTTAATCCCTTACAGAGATTTGATGAATTCCTTCACCTTATCACCCTAGGTCTGTGCTCTTCCAGGACATGCCCAAAAGTATACCTATGAGTCTCCATGTTTCAGGCAGACGAGGTATACAATCAAAACATGCCTTCTAGAACACAGTCTAGGTGACAACTTATGGTGTAAGGAAAGACATACCCAAATATTAAGAGACTGCTCTAATGATACTTTTGTAAGATTTCTTCATAGAGTCTCTTTGTGGGTCTGTTCAGTGCGAGCTATACCCTTATAGGTCCACCCACGACTTTAGCTAAGACATCTCCATATCTGTAGATCATGAGGTCTTTACCTTGTATCCGAATACAAGTAGATAAGTTGTGCTAGTCTTACCCGAGATTACTGATCCCTATATTTAGTGTCTCTAGACTAGGAACATAAAATTAGGAATAAACATCTGGTATCCTTAAATCCTCATGATCGTGATCTCATCACAGATACTCAATAGATACCTATTTTATTCCAAGGAGTTTATCCAGTTACTCATATAATATATTAACAATAATATTGAGACAAAATATGAAACAGGATAAAGAGTACTTATTATTTATTTGCGACAATATAAAAAGGTCCACATATGTCATAGTCTAATCAAAAGATTATCTATAGGACATCCATACACTAACACTAGCTGTTTACAAACACAAAATAATAATAGTTCCTTGTTTCAAATAACTCAAACATAGAAGCACGAAGCAATCACACAACTCAATTTTACTCATAAGTGGGCTTAAACATATCAGAGAGGTATAAAAATGGGTAATCACTTCCCACAGCAGTAATAACACATGAATATTAATCCACAGTAAAAGGTATGAACAAACAGACAATTTAAAAAGGGTTTTTAAAAAATATTCAGAGTGGCGAATCCATGATACACCACAGTAGAAAAGTAAAAACACAATAAGGATCAATTAGTAGTAACAGGTAATTACTTCCCAATCTAGATAGTCAAGTATTCGTTCCAACAAAAGAATAATTCAAACGTAGAAGATAGGGAACGAATAAATCTAAGGTCACAATTGTGAACCTATTGTGCTCCCCTGTTGTTAATGGCTCGTACAGCCGGACGTTGGCTGGTATCCTCACTTAGGTTCTGAACTTCTGGAACCAATTACCATCCATGATTTGGTCCCTGCTCTTGATGTATTTCCAGAGTTGTACTTGTCTCTCCTTAGCTTGCAAGAACTTGGTTTCCAAATCAGTATACTTCTTTGTCCAGTCTTCATTTTTCTTTCTAAAATCCTCAGTGAACTAACATAGGGTCTCCTTTAGGTCAGTCACTTCTCCCTTAGTTCCCGAGGGTTCTGCCTTGATATTTCCTAATTAAGGAGGACAATGAGTCCTTTCCAAAAGCTAAAAGAAAAAACTTCTGAGAGTAGTATTTCCTTCAGTAGTTATAGATGATGTGTCCTCCTTAAGTTGATCATGTTCCTTGATTAATCAATGATTTAGATTACACTTTGGCTCTTCAATCAAGGATGTGCTCTTTGCCAGCTAAGCCTTAAAATATTTCTCTGAGCTTCTTTTCTTCCTTCTTTTGCTGAATTTTGTGTGTTGTGGCGCTGCAAAACGTTGTGCAATCCTCCTCCCTACTTTTTCAGACGTGTCTCCCAGCTGCACTGTTTTTTTTTTAGACAAGGGCACAGGTACAACAATACTTTTTGCCTTCTTTTTGTCTCCTTTTGTCTTTTTCTTCTTTCTTTTCCCCCCAAGTTTATTTCTTTTTTGAATTAGGCCTTCTCCAATTGGTCACTAGGCCCCTGAAAATATAAAACAACACATTAAGCCCAAAAATGAATGAATTAAGTTATTTTATACTCAATCATGCCCTAGTTCCTAAAATTACAAGTTGCTCCGACTCAATTTACAATTAAGTACTACTGAATGCAAACTTAGTTCTAAATGACAAAATTAACAGCAAAAAGTGAGGAATTCAACAATAAAATACACAAGATAGCTCTCCACTTTGGGAGCTATCAATGATAATTTCTCACAATGAAGATCGTAACTTTAATTAGAAAATTAGAAAATCCTTTTGTTTTTGTTTTGGAATATTCTATCATTAGGGAAATGAATATTGCACTTCTCAAAATTTTGCTCGCTCCTATCTTTTCATGCTTTTTCTTCTCGGTCATTTAAAATCCAAATTCTCTTCAATGATTCAGCAATCATGTCTATACTCAACCAACTTTTACTCATTTTAATTCTAAACCCTAGCCTCAACTTCTTCTTTGTCCATTGTGTTGTTAGAGACGAAAGTGATAGAAGACAGGACATATAATCGGCAGACCTGTATTGTTGTAACTGTGTGCAAGTGCACACACAAAGTTTTGGGAAAAAAATTAAAATATATTTTGAGTCCTCAACAAAAATTACATGGCCCAATTTAAATTTTTAGAAAAAAAAGTTGACTCTTGATCCTCTGAATTCCAAAATAGATCCGGTAAATTGAAATTGTGGTCCCTTTGAAATTCAAAGAAGACTTACATTAATCTCTCAAAAGACTAACATGAGTCTATTTTGAAATTCAGAGAGATCACGAGTCAATTTTTTTTCTAAGAGATTAAATTGGGTTCTGTAATTTTTGTTAAGGACCCAAAAGATACTTTATTTTTGTAATAAATTCAAGTTTTTTTTTATATTCTTTTATTTTTTAATACATTTAAAATGTTCTTTAAATTTTTTTTTAAAGACATTGTCTCCGAACCTCCATCCTTAAATGTGTAGACATAATTTATATTTTTTTGGATCCGCCACTAAAGGATACGATGGAAGAGAGTGAGATTGAAGAGAGAGAAAATTTGTATGGAGAGCCTATGGATCTAATCTAATTCACCGATTACAAAATAATAGTAAAAGTAATAAGATAAGAGAAAAATATTTTTTCTTTTAAATGACAGTTTTTAGTTAAAATTCATATTTTTTATTTAATATTTAAATTTAAAAAAATTCTCACTTTCTCGGATCACAATTTTCGTTTCTCTTACTATAATATAAAATATAGTTATTTGATTAAAATAATATAATTTTATGCCCTCTAAATGGACAAACACTAATCCCATAAGACTTGTCTTGATGATTATTTTGTTTCATTCTACTTTTATGAAATTACTATTGTACATAAACAAATGAGCATAAATTTTTTAAACAATTTATGTTTATGATAATCATTTTTTTAATGTCTTTTCAATAATATTTGTTTTGCATGCATTTTTACGTAGTTTATACATAACGTCAGTGGCATCTTTTTTGTGCAAAATAAAATTTTCTCATGCTGAGACATCGTAATTTTTCTACTATTTTTTTAATACATGCGGACCCTATGTTTGTTTTGTCTCTTTGCATTAGGAAATGAGAAAAGTAAATGACATAAACTTACTTCATTTTTAAAAGAAATAGACACATAATTTTATTTTTTTATTTAAAATTTAAATTAAAAAAATCACCCACTTTCTTTTTCTCATGATTTTCATTTTCTGTGTCTATCTCTTTCTTAAAATGACATAACTTATGTTATTTAAAATGACATAACTTCTGTCATTTAAAATGACAAACAAATTTATTTTGCGCAACACAAAACTAATAAAGCCCAATAGAGTAATGTACTTTTTAAGTCTTCAAAAAATTCTCTGAGCTCAAATTAATTTCTTTGAAAAAAATTGATTCCTAGTTCTTCTAAATTTTAAAAAGATTTATATTAATGTGAGTTTTTTGTTTGATTTCAGAAGGACTATAATTTCAACAAACTGAGACTATTTTAAATTTTAAATGAATCATAAGTCAATTTTTTTTAAAAATAAGTTAAAATGAACCCGAAATTTTTTTTGAGGATAAAAAACATACTTCACTCAATCCAATAATTTCCGCCTAATGTTTTCTCCTACCATTGGAAAAGAGGGCTTGGGGAGGGGGTGGGTATTAGGTGGGGTTCGCCTCGGCTGATTTTTTGGTTTTAAATTGCCACTGGCACAAAGTTTAACTTTTTTTTTTGTTTTTTGTTATTATTATTTTATTCTTTTAAAACTAATTCGAATCCTTGAGCCGACCCCAGATTTTGAAATCGCAACTCTTAAAACACGGTTTCTTTCTTTCTCGAATTATGCCCTAATAAAAACTATGGTTTTTTTACAGTTACAAAATAGTAGACTAAAATACTAAATAATATTTAAAATAGAAAAAAAGTGTTTGTCATTTAAAGAATATAATTGTTTTATTTTTAATAAAACTAAATTATTTTGATATATTTTTATATTTTCTCTTCCATTTTTTTTCTATTTTTATAAAAAATATATATAAAAAAATATACCAAAATAACATAATTTTATTAAAAATAACATAAATTTATGTTATTTAAAATAAAAAACACTTGATCCTTTAAAATCTTTGTATAAATAAAATCATTTGATCTACAAAAAGAGCAAACATTATTATATGTATTAACATACCGTGTTGACTAAGCTATTTCCTTGCGATCATTGTATATTTTTAAGTGTGAGGATATTTTAACTACTAAATTTTTTTATTACTAACTTATTACATATCACATCATCATTGGATGATCAAAAAGAAAAAATATTAAAAAGTTTTTGAAAACAGAGAAAATATTAATCTAATAATAATTGGATATGTAATAAATTAGTAGTGAATTTTTTTGACAACCTCTAATATCCCACCTCTATTTTTAAATCCCTATTTTGTTCAAATAAATTATAAGAAACTCGCAATACCCAAGTGACAAACTCTTCAACCCCCAAACATTAGAAAGAGGGAAATAGAACAGGAAATGGGTACCCTGGAGATGTTCAAAGGATATAGCAAGGTAGAAGAAGATCACCACCACCTCGAAGATCAACGGCAACAGCAACGACACTCAAAAATATGCAAACCCCTCACCGCCACCTTTTCCATCTTCGCTATGGTATTCCTCACTCTCACCATAGCTTTCGCCCTCGCAACCCTCATTCACCACGTCAACACCGAGTCACCGGAAGAAGAACCTCTCAACTCGGCCGAGTCAATCCGAGCCGTATGCAACGTGACTCGCTTCCCCGACTCGTGCTTCTCCGCCATATCTTCCTCCACCCAAAACCCCACCGACCCAGAAGCGATTCTCAGGCTATCCCTGCGCGTGACGGTCGACGAGCTCAGCAAGGTCGCGTCTTCGCTCAGAGCCATGGCTTCCAACTCCAAGGGTTCCGCACTGGTGGATTGCAAGGACCAGATGGACGACGCGCTGAGTCGACTCAATGACTCGCTGTCGGCGATGGCGGCGGATGGGGGATGCTGCGGATCGCTGACGGATGCGAAGATCAGCGACATACAGACATGGGTGAGCGCGGCGGTGACGGATCAACAAACTTGCCTTGATGGGTTGGAGGAGATGGGTTTGGTGGGTGCTGTTGTTGAAGTGAAGAGCATGATGAAGAGTTCCACAGAGTACACTAGTAACAGCTTGGCCATTGTTGCTAATATACGCACCTTGTTACATCAATTCCATATGCCACTCCATTGAAAAATGAAATTTGGGTAACTAACTACTTAGGCATTCCACTTTTTTTTCTTTCTTTCTTGTATTGCTGTTTTCTTATTCTTGTTTATTATAATATTTTTTCTCTCGAAGAAATTACATAAGGATTTGTAATTTGTATGTGTAAATTGCAATTGCATGTATTATGTATATATGAAAAGGCTGTGTTGGCTGAAAAAGTGGCAGAGTCGATTGTGTGAGAGTTGAAATGGTTTGCAGCAACCCCAAATGGACTACTATTGTGTTATGTGTGAGGAGAGGGAATTGAAAGAGGAGAGATTGGGAGATAAATTGACATGATCTGAGATGTAAATCCCTTTATGCTCACTGATCCATTGACGGAGATGATGGAGAAGTAGAGAACGAGTTGCTGAGAAGAAAGGAGTACAAATCCCTTCCTTTTTTTTTTATACGGAGAAGATGAAAAATCCTTCATTTATTGATAAATTTGATTTCATGCATCTTAAAATAGTTTATTTTAACAGAGATCTTTGGATAACAAAATTTGGCGTCTCTTAGGACCATGTTTGCAAATTATAAAACAACCAAAGTCCACCGAGTACCTTGGGTGTAGGGGAGTGCTCGAGCGAGGAAGTTATGAGATAAGTTGAGATGAACTAGGAAGATGCAAAGGGAGGTGCGAAGGGAGTGTGTGTTTGATGATAATATTTTTTGAAGAAGCTCCTAAGCAGAAGCTAAAGGTTTTAATGATGTAAAGGCTAAGGAGATCACATTGAAGAATATGATGAAGATATGAAGAATATTAGTACATAGGTTGAAAACCTTTTAATACTTAACTTTGCCTTAGGATTGTGATTCCTGTCTCCTAGCATTCATTTGCATAACAGAAAATATAAAATAGCATTGTGCGATAATTAGGGATCTGTCAAATAAATTGATTAACTATATATAAGCATCTCCATAACCAATCCCAATGTCATGCAAAATTAGGCATGAGGATAATTTATTAACTATCAGGTCAATGGTATTTTTAGAAAATTTTAAAAAAAGTTAGTTAAATGAATAAAACAAATTCTGATTTAAATCTTGTTAGTTTGTGCACCAATTTTATTTTTATTTTTAAAAAAAAAAAATTGCATAAGGGTTTTGAAATTTGTATATTTGGAGTGTGAATATGTAAATTGTAGTGGCTTATATGTATGATAATGTTGTGTTGGGTGAAAAAGTGGGGTGGATTGTTAGTGAGTAATAAGAAGGAAATGTAAAAATAGCACTGAGTTCATTATAAATTGAATCAGCTTCCGATTTGTAGTATGGAAAAATTGTCTGAATCCCAGAGTGGCAGTAATTTTTAAAGTAGTCATTTTTAAACTTGTGTGACTATTGGAATAACTCAAAACATTACAATCCCTCTTGTAGAGAGATTCACCCGTTCCTTGTGGAATTCTGGTCTCTTGACAAGCGAGAAAGATCTTCATCGTGCATATCCAACCAAAGACTTGTTAAAACAACTTGAAACAATGCAAAAAAGTCCCTCCATTGGGATGCAATTGAGAAAGGGCAATGTTAAGATGATACAACAACCTAGTTTAACGAGAGACTGAAAGGCGAATGCGGAGATTCAAAAAGCATTTCGTACATTTCACCATTCCAAAACAGTAGAGAAGCAACCTGTTTTTAAGTGTGAGCCAATAAGAATGTATCTCACTTGGCGAGGAAACGAGACTTGTAATATTGGAATCTGGGTGACTTTTGGGACAATGCAAACCTCTTTTTATACCATAAACATCCTTGGGTAGTAGTGAAGCACATATAAGAACCCGGAATGCGATCTAAGTCCTACAATATATTGTTCGAATGGGGATCTTGTAGCACCTCTTTCTCACCATGTTCGCAAATTAAAATTTATAAGGACAAAATTGAATTTGTAATCAAACACTGATGTCACTCCTCTATTGGATAATTTTCCTTGGGCTAACAACGCACAACATTTCTCATTAGACCAGGTTCAGTTGGGCTTGGACCAATACAACTTGTAGTACATTTAAACCCATTGTCGATGTATCAGAGGTCTGGTGTAAGAACCCACACTGTTAAATAGAGATTTCAGAAATTTAATAATAATTAAATGAGGAGTATTAAATGGAAACTTTAATCATTTTAATTAATTTAAGTTAAGCACCATTTTGAGAAAAAGTTCAATATTGAGCATTTCGCGGTAACAATGCAGTGAGTAAAAATTACCTGAAACTTAAAGATAGTTAGTGATTATTATTCCATAAATTTTATGAAGTTAAAATGACAAAAAAATATTTATTTTAATATTAGTAGGAAAATTTAATTATTTAAATTAAACCTAAAACAATTGAAGAAGCTATTCAAGATGAAAATTGGATGCTTGCAGTGCAAGAGAAACTAAATCAATTTACAAAGAATGATGTTTGGGAACTTTTTCCAAAATCGGATGATCATCAAGTGATTGACACTAAATGGGTATTTAGAAATAAACTTGATGAAAATGGTGTAATGACAAGGAACAAGGCAAGACTAGTAGCTAATGGTTACAATCAAGAAGAAGGAATAGACTATGATAAAACCTTTGCACCCGTTGCAAGACTTGAAGCTATTAGATTGCTACTTGTATATGTGATGCTCACTGGCAAGTATACCGATCTCACAAGTAATACAGTGATAAGAAAAGTATCGTCTCCACAGGGATTGTGATCAAATATCAAATAATCGTTCATTTTAAAACGGAAAGAATTCAATAGGTGTGACATCCGATTTATCACAAAGCTATTAGATTATTATTGTGGAATTGAATAATAATAAGTACTAAAATAAAACGTATTTTTGTTGTGAAAAATAAACAGAGATTGATTTTATAAAATATGAGAAAGCATTGTAGCTATAGTACACTCACCATATGATCCCACATTTTACTCTGCATTGATTTACAATACTTATTTAAATAAATGCTCAAATAATTTATCATCTAAAATTATTAAATAGTTAACCTTCAATTCCTCACAAGGTTAACCCTTTAACCCCAATTCCTTGTGATGTTTCTCATGAAATTAAGCAATAAGCACGATAAATTAAACATCTGCAATTATATATACGTCTATTCCTAGCACGCATACAAATTGTTATCCTACTCCCTTTCAAGATCAAAAACCCCTATATTTTTATATAGGGTTCTAACCCTCAAACTATCATCAACTATCAGATTGATCAATTCTAATAAAGAGGATAGAAATTACACACAGAGTAGAGATAAAGATAAATATATAAACAAGTAAATATAAACAAATCTGTTGTAACAAGGGTTCACATAGGGTTTGTGACCCTAACTACAATAAAAAGTACCTAGCCAACCATGGTCATGGCTGAAATATCAATATTCAACATCAACTTGAAGAAATATAAAAATGGAGGAATTCAGATGAACAAGGTCTCTCCAGCACTCTCTTCTCTGAGCACGACGATTTTCTTCTGAAAAGGGCTGCCTAATTCTGTGTTGAGCCTCCTATTTATAGGCCCAACTTCTTCCAAAATTGTCCTTGTAAAAACACGGTGTTTAAAATTCGCAAACTGGCGTAGATCTGGCGCTGGACCACGCCAAATCTCTGGTCATTGGCTCTGCATTGTGGCGCTAACTTGCTCCAGTGTGGCGCTAAGTTGCGCCACTTCTCTGGAATTTTGGCTGGTCCAATCATGATATAGCATGGAAATTCCAACCATGTGAATTTGCGCCACCAAGCTTTTTACACTTTCGTATTTTCCACCTATTCTCCCTATATAAACATAACAAATAGGTGAGAAATGTCATTGAGATGGAAAAGTCAATATAATAAGTAAATATGTATATAAAGTGCTCTTTTATGACTTAATTCTCAACATTTTTAGCTTGGAAAACTACATCTGCCAAAGGCACATCAATATGCTAGTATATATGATTTCAAGCTACATCAAATGGATGTCAAATCTGTGTTTTTAAATGGTTTTATTCAAGAGGAGGTGTATGTTCACCAACCATAAGGTTTTGAGAGGTTTGATCTTCCTAATCATGTTTACCGCTTAAAGAAGGCATTGTATGAAGAGCTTGGTATGAAAGGTTAGGTAAGTTTCTACTTGATAATGAATTTTGTAGAGGTAAAGTAGATACTACATTGTTTATTAAAAGAAAGCATGATCATACTTTACTCGTGCAAGTTTATATTGACAATATTATTTTTCGTTATACTAATGAGTTTCTTTGTTAAGAATTTTCTAAGATGACTAAAAAGTGAATTGAGATGTCTATGATAGAAGAACTCAACTATTTCCTTTGATTGCAAATAAAGCAAGAGAAAGAAGACATATTCATCAATCAAGGAAAGTATTACAAAGATCTTCTTAAGCAATTTGGGATGGACAAGGCAAAACCACTAGACACTCTAATGAGCACTTCAGTTCCAATTCACAAGGATGATGATGGTAAACTGATTGAGGTAACAAAATATAGAGGAATGCTTGACTCTTTATTATATTTGACCACTAGTAAACCAGATATTATGTTTTGTGTTTGTCTGTGTACTAGATATCAATATTGTCCTAGAAAGTCACATTTGAATGTCATTAAAAGGATTATGAGATACTTAGTAGGCACTACAAACATTGGTTTGTGGTATCTTAAGGGATTCCCTCCTAGTTTAATTGGATTTTTCGATTCTGATTTTGCCATTGCAAGTTGGATAAGAAGAATACAAGTGGTACTTGTCATTTGTTTAGGAATGCTTTAGTCTCTTGGCATAGTAAAAAGCAAGTGTGTGTTGCTTTATCAACGCCGAACCGAAATATGTAGCCGCTGGAAGTTGTGTTGCCCAAGTCTTATGGATGAAGCAACAACTTCAAGACTATGGTTTGCCCCTTACTCATATTTTAATTAAATGTGATAACACAAGTGCAATTAATCTAACTAAGATCCCTATTATGCACTCTAGAACAAAACATATAGATATTAGGCATCATTTCATTAGAGACCATGTACAAAAAGGAGATATCATTATGGATTTTGTTCAATCACATGCTCAATTAACGAATATTTTTACCAAGACATTGCCTAAAGATCAATATGAAAAGCTAAAAGTGGAATTAGGATTATTAAATCCTTTATCTTAATACATATGGTTTGTTGATAAC